CGACTACGACTACGACTACCACCACTGCCTTTGTTTTGGCACTACCGCTAGCACAACTAACTAACGGCTGCTTAGCTACTTCGACTGCTACTGACATAATCTACTCCGACCACTCGGATTTCGGAAGCCGGCGCTCCAGCATTTTCTGTCGAGAACCCACCAGGCCCAAGCCCACGGAAAGCCTCAAGTTGCGGCCCTGGAGGCGCCCGCTTCTTAGCTGCGGGTGGCCGCCGCGGCCTCGCGAAGCTGCGAGCCCAAGTGAGGTCAAAGCGTTGTGTGGCGGTGGGGGGGGGGGGGGGGGGGNNGGGGGGGGGGGGGCGGGCGGGGGGGGGGGGGGGGCACAGGTTGGGAGGCTTGGGGAACAACTTAACGAATGTGAATAAGTCTGCCCGAGGCCATGGGCATCATCTCCAGCTGCTGCTCCCACGATGCCAGCGTGGAAGCAGAGGAGAACAAGTCGACGATGAAGAAGGCACGAGGAGTTTGGAGAATAGGGTCTGGTAGCCGATTTAGGCACTCAAGCTTTTTGCGCGTTGACGTCCTGTTGACTGGCGAGCCTTTAAGCTTGAAAAGTTTGAGTTCCTAGCTAGTCGGCTTCGATTTCATGGCAAACCGACGTAGGTACAATAAGTAGGCAGGCAGGCAGGCAGGCAGTAGGGACTTCGCGGAGACTGGTTTGAGAAAGAAGGTCTGCAGCATTCAGTTGTATGGATCTGAAGGAACCGTCGCCGACCAAAGCAGACGCCACGGACCGCTTTGGGGGGGTCGACGAGTCTAGGCCTTGCGGTTTCGAGTTTGGATACACGGGAGCTTGACGGGGTGCAGAGCCAGGGGCTTTGCACTGTTGTAGACTGGCTGTTGGAAATGTCCGATCGGAAATCTCACGCCCTCCCTTTCCTTCCCGCTGCTCCTCCTTTCCTCGAATCCGTCCTCCCGTCTCCCGTCTCCTTTGTTCCCTCACCTCCCAGTGCTATGCTGCAGGTCGCAGCATAGATCGTGGCACTGGCATACATGAAATCCGTGCTCCCTACCTGTGATTCATCGCATCAGCGTTTCAGTGCAAAAGGTGCGCCTGCTTCTCCCAAGACCCAGTGGGCGCCTTTGCCTTAAGGCGCTTTTGCTCCACGGTTCATGCAGGAAATGGCCGTGGCGCCTGCGGCCTCCCGGGAGAAAGAGCGGATGCCCAAGCCTCGGCGGCCGCCTGTCGGGGCCGGGTGCATGGCCCGCCCCATGGGAGGCTCCTCAAAGCATGACAGCCCAAAGCTTTCGAGGATGGAGAAGTCCGCCAATGTGACAGCGAGCCCGGGCCCAAGATCCTTATCCGAAAGAGCGTGGGTTTTGCAGGGAATCGGCCTGAATGCACGAAGCCCTGGCAACCAGGAGTTTGGGCACACCTGGAGGTTCTGGTTTCGAAGCAGGGGGGAATCGGGGTTACAGTTTAGGGTTTAGGCTCTGTTGGTCTGCTGCGGACACAATAGACATGGTGGATGTGCTGCCATGCTCAGCTGTACCGTAAGTGGCTCGACGGAAGGAAACCCGAGCTGGAAGCAGCTATGACGAGCAGCATTGCCAGCGACCATGTGTCGGCACCGACCATAAAGCGCACTGCGACTGGAGTGTATTCTGGTAGACCATAAGTGTTAAAGCATGGTATGTGATGGCAAGGGTAGACCCAACATCCCGGAACACAAGGCGGCTCCGAATACGAGATCACCCTGGACAAGAGCACGGGCAAAAGGTCGGTTTTGAGGGCATGCCATTTCTCAGTCGGGCGGGGCTTTGAGGTCGGTGTCTCAGCTAGAATCGAATTCGCAGTTTGGGTCTGAGGTGTTATTGGAACAGCGTCTTGTGCAAGGCTTCGGACCGGCGGCTCGTGGTCTTCAGCATATTATTGTCTCGAGATGTCTCGAGCATCCAGGCTTTATACTTCCAATGTGCGCCCGTGATTGTTACTAGGAGTAGGACTAAAACCCTGTTCGAATCCAGTTCTATATATCCTGATCGGGCATGTCGCTCAAGGTGAGCTTATGGTGAGACTAGTGAGTGGTCTGAACAGTTGGCAACAGCTGCTAGGCCTCTCGAACAACAAGTCAGGAGCACACCGCACTCCCAGTTCCAGTTGAACACCGATTCGTCAGCCAGGTTGGGCATCGATGTGGATCATAAGGATGGAAAGACACTACTCATTGAATGCTGGGAGCTTGGCCGGGAACGACATGCCTTCTGGACTGGAATTGCTGTTGCCCGTGCTGAGGCATCAATGAAGGTCTGGTGAAGGCCGTGTCTGCTGCAGCGCTGCTGCCAGGGAGTTTTGAGTGGTCGAGGCTAATGTTGGTGGAAAGGCTTGTCTAGTCGTGCACAGGGGGACAAGTCGAAACATGCGCAGTCGACCCTCCTGACTTGATGCGGGCAAGCCGGGTCTTAGCAGGACTGGAACGACACGGCACCCGACGAGACGAAGGCCATCGGTTTGAGTTTGGCGTTCTGGTTTGGCTTGCATCTCGCAAGTCTGAGCCCATGCCAGTAATCAAGCATTACATCTCGCATGAGCCAGGCAGATCTTGCAAGCCCGATCTTGAAAAAAATCTGATCCGCAATCCCTAAGATGTAAGTCATGTCATGTGGGAAGCTCGGCTAGCTGGGCGAGTAGACTCCCTGGATGAGGTGCAGATCAATGATCGCATAACAGAGGCTGGCCTGAAACTCTTTTGCTGAGGGCTCGGCATATTCGGGCGTTGATGGATTGAACGTTTTCAAAGTTTCATCCTGGAGCCGACATGGATTTGTGAGTTGCCGCGGCCAAGATCAGCAGCAACGAATTTACATGGTGCGGCTGCCCCCTGCGGCCATCGGATCAAGCATGTCCTCTTCAAGCCTGGACTGCATGTATCTTCCTGAGTATCAGAACACTGCGTGCTATGGTCGATGAGCCCCGGCACGGCGAGGCGCGAGCCAAGGTTCTTCGCTCGGGAGGATGCGCGGGGTCATGCTTTCGGGCAACTACTGTACCGGCTGGTTTGAGAAGTATCGAATAATCGAATACAGCTCTAGGGCGGATCTCGCAGCGCACATGATGTCGGCAATTCCTCGCGAAGGCTTGGGCGCTGGTTGTTGCCGACTCTGGGGCTGAGCTTTCTGCGGCGGTACTTCACGCTGGGCTCCGGGCAGAGGCGGAGATTCCGCTCGGCCGCAAAGCATCTACCCCAAAAACCTTGCAACACGGAGCCTACGCCCAAGTGCAAGATTCCGTTATCAGGGTTTGGGGTTGGTTGCTGCACGGGGTAAGGGGAAAAAGTGTAAATCTGGCAAGTTCTACTAAACTACTACATTCACGAGGCCCAAAACAGCCTAACGAGCAACGAGAAAGGGTCAGACTGAAATTGAAGCTTAGCCAAGAAAACGCGGCATGACAAGCTCGCGGCTTTTCATGTGTCTGTTGGTTGGAGTTTACATTCTTATCCTGATAGATCTCAGCTGTGATCAGCTGTGTTAGGCGGTTTATCCGCTCAGCTCTGGCTAGATCCTCGGATGTTCTCCGGAGGTGGTAGCTCCAGCGACTGCACTCAGCTGCATCGGGCGCCGCTGATGCAGGGAAATTCTCGGTCTTCCCGCACAGGGGTGGGATAGAAGTTTGAAAGCTATGGACTCTGAGGGATAGATATCACACAAGATGTAGGAATGGCCGCAGGCAGATTTTTCAGTTGTATCAATGGCTGGAAAGCAGATGTGAGACATTGTGAGACATCGCTATTAACTAAGATAGCTTCCCTGCCAGCTGTTTGCAGCTACAGTCGACATGCACTTCCCAGCAAACTGAGTCGGTTGCCGGGCCGGCTGGCAGTGGTTCTGGCGCAGTCGCCCGAGAAGGACTTCCTCCGATCCCTCCGCAGAGGCCTCCGCATAACCGCTGACCGGCGCCTCACAGGGCTGGTCTCGGCCCGACTGCCCGACTCGTCGCCGTCGTCCCGCTGGAAGAGCCCTAGCCCTTCGATTGCACCGTTGCACTGTGTTGAAGCTCCCGGGGAGGCCATGGTCAAGTCTTCACCATTGCAATGGACGAGGCGCAAAGGGGACGCAAGCAAGTCTCACTCAGGTTTTGGAGCTGAGGCATGCCGATAAGTATTGTGTCCAATTAGCGAGGGCTGCTATTCTCCAAACTTCCAGATTGCTTTCTGCAAGGCTTTCGCCCATTGCCCTGCTTCGCGACTGGCTGCTTTCGATGCGGGAGCCCGCATGGCGGGGAGTGTTTGCCGTAACGGGAACAGCATGTGCGTAACGAGAACCCGTAACAGGAACGGGGACCGATCCCGTAACAGCAACCACCAGTTCCTGTAACACCCCCCGGGCCGCCCCTCGTAACAGGAACCAGTGCAGGGCTCCAAGAATGACTTGTTTCACATCCACCTGCTCTGGTGGGCTCGCCAACATAGGGACCGCTTTCCGGTCCCCCACTTATACGGCTTCAAAATGTCATGTCATGCAGCACTAGAAGCTGACCTCCTCATATGTCCACAGCAACCTTTGTCTTTGATTTCCGATGGTTACAGCATCGGTGTTGCCATTAGCGCTCCAAAATAGCATTGCATATGTCTGCTGCGAGTGAAACTGCACATTCACGACTCGTGTGGTATGACGAAGGCTCCTGTGTGTAGTCTCCTCACTTCTTTCTTAGCCCTACTTCTGGCGCTAAGGGTTGATCGAAACCCCAAAACCCCAAAGCCGTTCTCGAGCGGTCAACGCCGTTCTCGACTGCCAAATGCCTGGACCCTTCAATTTGACGCGTCAACCCTAAACCCGTAAAACACTAAACCCCTGAACCTCTAAACCTCCTAAATACCTCTACAGCCGCAGAACACTAAAACACGAAAGCCTGAACCGTCAACCCGGAAAGTTGAAAACTCTGGTCTGCCCACGATGGCATGCAACAGCCTAGCCCGCCACCAATAGTCGTAGTACTCGTAGTACGACAACTTCGACTTGCATTAGTACGAACCTTCTTGTAAGATCAAATATCCATATTCCTTCCGCAAAAACAATATGAAGAAACAACTTGTGGACTTGTGGCTTCAGAGACAAGGAGTGTATTATATCCCGAACCATGAACTTGTTTCAGCCCCGCCAAACTCTATATATGCCTCGAACGAAACATAAGCGTCAGCATGAGGCTTTCATGGTGTCAAAGTATAGGGGACCGAAAACCGGTCCCCCACACAAGAGTTCCAGCATAGTTTCGGTTGCTTGGCTTTCCTGGGACAGTTCCTGTTACGCTCCTGGTGCGGTTCCTGCTTCTACTAGCCCTCGTTCCCGTTACGACTCCCAGAAATGGTTTCCATTACACCCCAAACGGAATCCTGATGCTCCCCGCACCCGTATGGCGGGCATTGGGGCGTGCACGGAGTTGGATCACAGCTCAGCTTTGAAAGTTTGCGAAATAGGCTTGCCTGGTGTGAGGCAGCAGCAAACAAGCAATGAGTGGATGGGTACTAGCCTGGACGCATCATGCTGGTGTAGAAAGTAGCTAGGTATCCCGATCCATCGTCGTCGTCCTCGTAGCAGTATCAGTAGTAGTAGAAGTAGTAGCAGTCTACCAGTGTAGTAGTAGTAGTAGTAGTAGTAGTAGTAGTAGTAGCAGTAGTGGTAGTAGTGGTGGTGGTAGTAGTAGCAGTAGTAGTAGTAGTAGTAGTAGCAGTAGTAGGAGGAGGAGCAGTAGGAGTAG